GCCACGCTAGTAGTAACAGGTGCCTTACTGGTAGTAACAAGAAGCTAGTAGTAACAGAGACATGACATGAGGGTCACCGGTCGCCGTGGTCGTCACCGGTGGCCGGTGGAGGATTTTTCGGTGCTCAGAGCGCCACCGTGTGACACGGCAGCCACATGGACATGGACAACAGGTCAAGCTGATGTGAAATAGGCATCGTTCTCCCTAAACAGGGGTAGAGACTGAACACAAATTTGTAGAATAAGGAAAAAGCAAGCAACCAACAAACCAACCAACCACCACCTGTGACCCAACCAGCCCAATCCCTGCGATGGTTGTACTCAAGCTTCTCGAGGCTGGAGAAATCACTACCTGGTCCTTTCCTGCCTGCAGAAGCCAAGTCAGCACTAGGCATGCACACATGGACGCTTCTTTGCCAAGCAGGCTTCTTTGTCAGTGAACTACGTTAAGTTCCAAATATTCCGGCTTTTTCATTCTAATGCCAGCAGATTTCCGTGTCCATGTCTTTGTTCCGACATGAGGGTGAATCTTGGGGTGTAGCTCAATAACTGCCGCGTGTTCCAAGTCCTCAGATGACTCAACATGTTTCAGACCCCAGACAACACTCCACATACGAGATTGGTTCTGCCCGGATTCCGCTTGTGCAGATGTACCTGTCTTTGTGAAGCCCTACTTTGATGGGAAGGCAGCGGTGAACTCTGAGTTTATCATAGGACTTTGCAAAAGAAGGAGCTACAGCAAGAGGCACCGCAACAAGAGGAGAGCAAGAGCACGTGTAGCAGTGTACAGTAGCAGCTTGCAGAACTGTTGTCAGCACGGATTGAGAACCACCGAGAACATCATAGTGACTCATAGTGTCATGGGGCAACAGTGTCATCTTCACCAACGTTTGGGCCAAAGAAGCACCCCCCACAAAGGCAGCCATGGAGGCAACACCGCATGTTTTCCGTCGATGAAACACTCCGACAACACCAGGTGGCCATGAAGTCCTCGGACAACACCTATGCCACTGCGCCGCAGAAGAGTCGGAACGGACACGGACCAGAAGAGGCATCAAAAGCACGCGGTGTGAAACTCATACTTGCACAGTTTAGTGGGCAGCCTCAGACGGTGTTGCAACAGGACTGTCTCTTGCAGTGCTTGCCCAGAGACGTTCTTTTCTAATGGAAAGCAACAGCTGGTTGATTTTAAGAAGCTGCAGCTTGTGGGCCAAAGAAATGAGGTAGTGACTTGCAAGGAGAGAATAAGTTTGTAGTCCGCCAGTCCACTGTGACTGCAACATCAAGTAACGTAGCCCAAATGAATCCAAACGAGCATACAAGTATTTTTTCCCCGATTCTGTATATACTTTCTACATCAGCTGCAGCTTTAGCTCTTGTCTTCTGGTCTTCCGTCAAGTTCGCGCAGAACGAACGCAGTACATGTAGCTGAGCCCTTCCGCCCTGCGCTGAGGACTTCTTCAAGATCGCGCCCTTTTCACAGAAGCGAGCGGCTTTCTACTTGACGCAGGCGGACGCGCGACGCAGCGAGGTCTGGGCTCGCCCTTGGACGACGGGTATGGACGGGTATCGACGACGGTCATGAGGGGTCATGATGGGCTGGAAGCTGATGTGTCCAAGCTGCGCTGAGTGACTTTGTGTCCAATGACTTTGGATTGAACAAAAACAAGCGGAGACTCCAAAGATAGAAAGACCATGGACCATGACCACATGCCAAGGATGGCAACCAGGTTCGGTGCAGTTGATGCTTTAGCATGGATTGGCCTGATTCATTTTCTTAAATGGCTGCAAAGATCCATGGCGTCAGTGTTTGCATCGCTTTTCCTTCACCAAGTGGCCTATTGATTCCTATTGTTGCCTCGGCGCTCACGCGCGCTCACCAAGTGCCGTTCGGTGCCATGTCTTCGATCAGCCGTGAGTGGAGATGTGCGAGATGTGCCCAGGGCTGCAGCCCAGTTCCCACCTTCTCATGTGGTACGTTCCGAGCTGAGCAAAAAAAAGGCCACGAGAAGACCCACAAGGCATGAGAACCAAAGGGTGAAAGGATGCGAAAAGAAGCAGGGATGTACATGGTCTGAGTTATGCACACTCACAGAACTACTCATCTTTCGAAGGGGCATGCAAGCAATTGTAAGCATCTTGGCGCAACAGGTTTCTTAACGTTCTTAACTTAACATTCTTTGTGCCTGACTTGAGGCCTGTACCAGACATGCCCAACGTTTTCGTGGGCCAGTCTCTGATCAAAGTCAGCAAGAAGGTTGGGGCGCCCCAGCTGCCGGCTGGGAACCTGATGGCACTGGTCCAAGCCGCTGACCGAGCATCACCCAGATCATTTTTTTTGCTTGCCCCTAAAAGACCAAGCACCATCTTCCAGATGACTTGATGACCGGTGGTTTCGTCATATTTCGTCTCGGACTCCCTGCTCTTTCTGACAGGCTACATTTTCTGTTTGGATATGCAAGCCTTGGGTATTTTCTCAGACCTTCGGCACCTCCATATATCTCCTGGCAGGTGGACCAATTACCTTGGATGAACGCGCTCAAAGCGCCAGAGCCTTGCTGATTTGCAGTGGAGCAAATGTGCGGGCGACAAACGGAGAGACCTTCAAAGCTCAGTCAGTCACAAGTTTTAGCAACATTTACCGTACTATTATTGACCGCAAAATGGCCTTGGTCGGTTCTGCACTGGATACTCTTTCTCTTGGACCTAGCTCCGAAGAGACCATACCCAAGCACGCAGCATGGGTAAAGCGTGCAGCACCGAGTTGCTTTCTGAGGTCTCCAAAGAAGAGTGGCATGTGACGCTGGCTTTTTGTGGGATGAAGAGTTACTCACTGCGGAAATCATCGCCAGTCATGAAGTTCAATGGCTCCTGCCGAGTGCTTTAGAAAAGGACACTGTGAATGTGGGCCCCGTGTCTTTGAAAAGAGGATGCAATGAAGAATGTCAAACGAGTCAAGAGTGACTTTCAATCTACTCTCTGATGTCGTTGCATACGACCTGGGAGAGTACTGTAGTTGGCTACAAACACTAGTCACTAGTCACCGAATGATGCCTTGCCCATTCAAAGTGCTCCAACATGTCCGCCCTGCAGCTGCTAGTGCCACTTGAAAGAAAGCGGGTGTCTGATGGTTTGTGAATGATTCGTTTTGTTGTTGTTGTCGTCTTTCTTCTCGGCCAATGTGCCAATGTGCCGTGATCAGAGTCAGAGTCATCACATTTAGAAGAGTACGCCGTGATCAGACCGGAAGTTGGTCGTGGGTGACAATCAAGGAGTCAAAGAGCTGGAACAACGCTGGTTTTTCTTAAATCAATGACGCAACCCCAAGGGCTATGGAGAAGGGAACATGGCCACTTTCAGATATTTGATCCGCAGCTGATGCCAGGGCTCTTTGTGTCTATGATGATGGTTGCAAGAAGTCACGTCCTCGGCCTGTCTGACGGTGCCTGCGGCTGTTCGAGTGTCAAGTATTTCGCCGCAAGCAAGGTTTGTCCCTGAAACCAAACTCTGATTTGAGATAGGTTCTGGATGGTGATTGTTTGGGATTTTCCCAAGGTGCTTGCTCCAACACCAAGATGTTTAATGACAGTCATTCATTTAGTCGATTGCACTTGAAACAACGCCACGCCTGAAACATTCGCGACGGCAGGTCCGAAAGCACGGTGGGCCAACTGCAAGAGTTCGCGTCACTTGGCGGTCAAAGCAGGGCAGCGGGCTGTGCCAAAATGGAGGATCCAGTCATTTCTCAACTTTGGATTCTGTTTGGTGTTGAAGGAAAATGAAGCTTAGGCCACAAGTTCCTGGTCTTTGGAAAGGGATGATGTGTGTTGTGTTTACTTGGAGAAGGAAGACAATCTTTAAACATTAGATTCACTGACTCTGTTCCTTGCCTGACCAGCGCCTCAAGACGGACCCCCCTCAAGTTTCAGTGGCCGGGTGTGCCTTGATGACCAACTTCTACGAGGTGCTAGTGGTGGCTCCGACAGCCACCCTGGATGAGATCAAGTTGGCATTCAAGCGGCAAGCCTTGCAAGTTCATCCAGACAAAGGTGGCAGCAAGGAGTCTTTCCATTTGGTCTACCAGGCACTTGAAACCTTGGCGGACCCAGAGGCCCGCAGGAAATATGACGAGACCTTGATGGTCGAGCACAAGGTCCGAGCCCCTGCTGGGCGCAAGACGCGCCACACGACGCGGCCGAGGCCGGCGAAGCACCCAAGGGCCAAGGCCCGACCGATGCGGTCAGAGTCGAAGCAAGGGAAGTTGTTGATCAAGATCCACGATCTCTTGAAACGATTGCCCCGAGAGGTGAGAAATGAGGTGATTACTCAGCACTTCTCGCAGAAGCAGCGACTGCTTCTGGAAAAGTGGATGGTGGAGATGTCCACGGGAAATGATTCCGGGCGCCCTCCCAGCCTACCATATGCCGAAACAGCCCCAACAGCCACCGAAACATTTGCGGCCTACCAGACTCAGACGGGTCCAGATGATGCAGATGCCCTGAAGATGGCCCTGCCCACTGTGCAGCGGACCAAGAGCTCCGTCCTCCGCACTGTGAACGGACCATTGAACAGGCATGGGCCAATGTGTGGTGAACGCGGGGGGGCCTTTCGCAATTCCACACGCCTCGTGGTCACTGAATGACTCACTTTGTTCTTTTTGGTAGACTTGCTTCGCAAATCGATTTGGCATGATTCATGATTTTAATGATAATTATGATTTTAGATGACGGGATAGAAGAAATGTAACTAGAACCACTCAAGTGCCAAAAGGCATTTTTAAACTCGGGTTGCAAGAAAGGTCATGCCAGGCATTCCAAGCAAGATTGATGCAGAATCATTAATTATCATCCAGAATCCATTTGGTTGTGAGCATCGTTGGCTCACCCAAGTGTGTGTGTTTTTCCTTCTGAAGTACGTTGCGTCTTCTTCCAATTCAGTGGAGAATTGCCGGCACCCTTCACCTGGATTCGCATGGCCAGACGCTGCGGCTTGACGGGGGTCCGGGTCGGAGAAGCGGCCAACCCAGGGCCTCCTCAACCGGGCACACCGGTGGGCGGCGAGCGGCCACGACGCATGGACTTGGATCCCGCCCCCCGTGAGCGGTCCCCTGCTCGTGGAGCTCCTGCTCGTGTTTTTTGCCCAGTGCCTGCGTGCCCGTGCTCCAACACCAGCACTGCAAGAGGTTGGGGCTCCCACGCGAGCATGCGGGCACACTTGGATGATCACGCCTCCGGCTCCTTGCAGGGCGGCATCCCGAGCACCTACCTGACGGCCCACAACCTGGACCTTTGCAGTGTTTGTGGCCTCACGGTGGCCCAGCGGTCGAACGGCACCCATCCCCGCTGCCGCCCCCAACAACGGCAGCACCTCCCCCAAGGGCATGCCAACGAAAGCAGGGAGGGTGGCAGCATGCCTGGGCCTTCCTTGCTGGACGTCTTCTCGGCTCCCGGGCCGGTGCTGAGGCGTGTGCCTAAGGGAGCCCGCGGTGCTTGGGCCCAATGCCTGGCCAGATCCCTTGCCACAGTTGCAGATCGCAATTCGATGACTGCATGGGCTGAGCTTTGCATGCTGCCTAAAGCCGTCCTGCGGCCTCCGCCACGGGGAGGGGCCCACCGTCGACTACAAACCTGTGCCTTCACCCAGCGTCGCTGCGCTCGCTGGCTCGAAGGAGAACGGCACGAGCTTTGGGAAATCAACCGGCGGGGGGCCGCCCGTCGCTTTCGCCCCAGCAGTGCGGACAGCGATGATGACACTGATGAGTCCCTCGACACTGGGCGGCAAGCCCGTTGCATGGCCTTGGCTGCAGAGGGGGAACTTTCTCGGGCTTGCGCTTCGCTTGTTGACCCGCTTCTTCTGGAAAAGAATGCTGTTGTCCTTGCAGCTCTCCGGGCGAAACACCCCACCGCCGCCCCAGCGCGGCCAAGTTTGCTTGGATCTGGGCCTTGCCCCGCCGGATCCACCCCGGACTTTTCCGTCGAAGATGTCGTCAGGGCTGCCCGCAGCTTTCGCTGTGGTAGCGCTGCCGGCCCGTCTGGCCTTCGTGGGGAACACTTGCGGGAGGCCTTGGACAGCGCCCATGACGATGAAGTTGCAGCCCACCTCACCCGAGTTGCGCAGCTGCTGGCGCGCGGAGAAGCCCCCCTAGAGTTGGCCCAGCACCTCGCCGGCGCCACTCTGCACGCCCTGCCCAAAGGGGCCGACGATGTCCGGGGGAAACCCTCCGGCGCCTGGTGGCCAAGTGTCTGTGCTCTCAAGTGAAAGCCGAAGCTCGTGCCTGGTTGGCTCCCCTGCAGATTGGCGTGGCGGTCCCACTTGGGTCTGAAGCAGCGGTGCATTGCTCCCGGCACTGGGTCCATGCCAACCGTAGCAACCCCAACAAAGTTTTCCTGAAGTTGGATTTTGCGAATGCTTTCAACACGGTGGACCGTGCAGCCTTGTTGAGGGAGGTGCGCCTCCGGCTCCCGGCCCTTTCCCCGTGGGCAGAGTGGTGCTACAGCCATCACACAAAGCTGCTCTTCCAAGGAGAGGTTCTCACTTCAGAGGCCGGCGTGCAGCAAGGAGATCCACTTGGCCCCCTTTTGTTTGCTTTAGCACTCCAGCCAGCTCTGTCAGCTGCCGGCCGGGGTCAGCTTGACCTTTGCTTTGCTTACTTGGATGATGTTTGCCTTGCAGGTGACTGCGCGGCTGTCAGTGCTGCTGTGGGCCGGTTGGTGAACGCGGCGCGCCAGCTTGGGCTCCAGCTTAACGCCAGCAAGTGCGAGCTCACGACCCTGAATGGCCCTCAGACCAACCTGGATCCCAGCCTTTTCCCAGCCGGTTTCCAAGTTAACGATACCGGAGAATTTGTGCTTCTTGGGGCCGCGGTCGGGAGCCCCGGCTTTTGCCACCAGCACACTTTGCAACGGGCAGAGAAAACCAAGCCCCTCCTGCAAGCTCTGAGCAAATTAGCCGACAGTCAGACCGCGCTGCTGCTGCTACGACATTGTGCTTCGCGGTCGAAATTGGTCTATTCCTGCCGGGTCACCCCGCCGCCTTTTCACCAGGATGCCTTGCAGAGCTACGACGCTGCGGTTCTTCAGTGTCTTGAACTTTGCTGCTCGGGGCCGCTCACCCCGTCAGCCTGCATACAAGCATCCTTATCCACGAAAACTGGTGGCCTTGGCCTCCGAAGCGTGGTTCGTCACAGTGGGGCAGCTTACACTGCCTCTGTCCTGGCCACGCTTGGGACCTGCTCCCTGACCCTTCAGCAATACAGCCCAAGCTTGGACGCCATCATCTCCAACTTGAATGGAACGTTGCTTGCTGCTGACCATGTTCCTTTCCCACCGCCGCCTTCCCTTCGACAACAGGATTTGTCACGGGCGGTGGATCGGAACACGGCGGTGCAGCTTGCTTCTGCCTTATCTGGGCCTGGGCATGAAGCTGCGCGAGCACACCTTCAACTTTTACAAGAACCAGGGGCTGGCGCGTGGCTGCAGGCGTTGCCCTGTGCCGCGCTCGGGCTTCACGTGGACAGTGCGCTGTTCCGCATCATGGTTCCCCTCCGGCTTCGGCTCCAACTGCATTCAGAAGATGCGCCTTGCCGCTTCTGTGATGGAGTCTGTGACACTTATGGGGACCATGCACGAGTGTGCCCCTGCGGAGGTGACCGCACCAAGAGGCACAACCGACTTCGCACAGTAGTGGCTACTTGGGCAGAAGCCGCGGGCTTACATCCGGAAATCGAAAAGCCTGGGCTTCTCCCCGCCCGGTGTGAACACAATGGAGCTTCTGAGGATGGCACTCGGCAGGGGAACGGCCGCCGCCCTGCAGATGTGTACATCCCGCACTGGGGCCTTCGCGGGCCGGCTGCCTTTGACCTGGCCGTCACTTCTGGGCTACGTACTGGTGCAACAGCTGGCTCTGCTCAAGAGGGCGGACGTTCAGCAGCAGATTACGAGGCGCGCAAGCGTGCTCACCAGCAGACCGAGGCATCCTGTGACGCGGCGGGGATCCAGTTTGTTCCACTTGTTGCTGAAGCATGTGCTGGAGGATGGGCGCCCACTGCTGTCGCCGCCTGGAAACAAGTGGCTCGTGCCGTGGCCGGCCGCGCTGGCGACAGTGCCTCGGTTCTTGTCGACCGACTTCAGCAGTCCCTGTCGTTGACCTTGCAAAGGGAAAATGCTCGCGCGATTCTTCGCCGCGCCGGCGACAACCCTTCTGCAGGGGCTTTGCATTTCGACACTCCTTGATGATCTTGGTCGGAGAGACTGAACCACCCAGTAGCTAAATTCAATTTCCGTGCATGTTTTTGTTACCGTCCGAATGGGACTCGGCTCTTTCCTTGCCAAGCAACGAAGGAGCCTCCCATATCCTTTTTTTTCTCGGTTCATGTTGTTGGGCATGGCCGAGAAGGATTCTCAAGCCTTCAGAGGCAGTGAATCTCCAGTGTAGCCTCTCGCACCACGCAATTTAGCTTCTCTTTTCCAAGGCTGGAGACAGCTCAGCTGTGCTCTGCCCCTTTGGCAATGCTTTTCGTAATTCCATGCTGTAGATCACTGCAGCCGGTTTTTGTACATGTGAAGGTGTACCTTTTTACCCGGGAGGGGCATCATTCACATATTGTCACCAATGGTAATTATCCAATTGTGTTGCAAATTCATTGATTCCATTCGAGTCAAACTCACAAAATTTCTTTGGATGTTCCCGACCTCAATGGTATCAGTATGTATCAGATATCAGATATCAGACTTGAAAGTCCAACCATGGTTCATGTCTTGCATGTTCTATCATTTTCTGGTATCATCATTGATTTTTTGTGCACCTATTTTCCAGATTTGTGTTGTGCTGGAACCCAGACTCCACGTGCGGATTTGACAGGGGCATGATGGGGGATGAATCGGGGTTTTATTTCATCAGGGTTTCCAGCGCTGATCAAGCTTTTTCCAAGCCGATATCTCAACACTGCTAGGCAGAAAAGGCTGCAGGACAAGAAAGAGTTAGTCAAGAGGGTACGAAAGATGAATGGTTTCGTGGCTGCTGTAGGTCCAGGCTCTTGCTACTATTTTGCTCGCATCATTGTTGATGCGGTGGAGATAAACACTGGACTGTCTGATTTGCCAACGGCTCTGGAGTATTTGGTTATTCTTACCTCAGTGAAGCAAAAAATGTTAAACCCGGCAGGCGACAGCGTAAGTGCGCCTTTTGAGGAACGCTTGCAAGGGGCAGTGGCATCAAGTGCACACGAGCACGGAAGAACTGCTGCAGATCTCAATCTTCGCTTTTCTCTCCGTCAACGGGCCAGCATTTTCTTTGGCCGGGCCTACCAGATACAATCCCCACGCGTCCGTAGCATTGAAGCTTTTGGGAGGATTCGAAGTTGCTTGGCTCCGTTTCGCGCATTTGCCAGATACCAATGGGGAAGAGGCAACATTTTTTTGGCACCATAGCCCTAAAGATCTTGAAGTGGCGTGGCAACAAATTCAAGTTGCAATTGCTGAAGCATGGAGCATCGCGGGCGCTGACTCTACAAATACTTTGCGGAAGGTCCGTGATCTCTATGAGACAGACAGCGGCCTTAAGAGCAAACCCCTGCGGATGTGGGAGCTGCAGCACATGACCATGCAGGATGAGAGGCAACTGAAGGAACGCAAGTCGAGCAAACAGCTGGAATACCGGGAGCGTCAGCAGATGGCCAGACATGACAAGAACAAACACCGTCCCAAGCGCTTGCGAGGAAGGAACGAGCTCGGCCGATTGGAGCGTTGGGAGCGGCGCCAAATGGCTATGGAGGACAAGACCAAACATCCGCAGTCCAGATTGCGAGGGTCTCTGCGAACACGTTCTCACGATGTTTTGGCCAGAGACGTGTCAACTTTGCAGAAGCTTCTTGTGAGATGGGGGCTCATGTTGAAAAGAGAGCAGGAGGACAGGGACAAACGACACCGTCGAGTCTTGCGACAGCACAAGTCGCACCTGAGAAGAGTCCAAGCGGAGAAGAAAAGACTGGACAGGTTGAGCCGACAAAGGCTGCGAGAACTTCAACGATCCAGAAGGGAAGCCATCCGCAAGAGAATGAGAACTGACCTCATGGGTGACATTCTTGGTGGGTGGCGCGAGGACAAATCGAATCGTGCGCACCTAGCACTGGCACGCCCAATGTTTCAATTGAACCTTGCACTAGTTCTTTGTGCAAGGCACTCAAATGAACAAGTCTTGCAGGGTATTCTCCGGGTTACTGTTCGATCAAGCACTCAAATCAACCAGTCCGGCCCACCTTGAAAACTGCCCAGGCACGGGTGCAACGCTGGAGGAAAGCCCAAGTGCCGCTATTGCGGCACCGGTCGGGCGCTTGGGGGGCACGGCCAAGCAAGGAAGCAGGAAAACGGTGAGAAAATGCAAAGAGATAGAGAGAAGGTGCATGAGATCATATGAGATCATTGGAAGATGCATTGATTTTCCCAGATTTCTCACTTCTTGCGCGTGAAACTTTGTTTGGCGATGCCTGGGTTTTCACAAAGGATTTTCGATATCACATGGAGAACAGCCATTGCTACTCGTCTGCCGAGACAAGACTGGGGAGTGCCCCCAGTGGTACAAGTGCGTTGATAGCGGCCTGGAGATCGGCGCCTGGTCGAAGGAGAGCTGTTGGGAGCAGCCTAGTGGAACCTGGCGAATTTAGCTTCAGCACTGAATACAGACTAGGAACAAGTGCATCGCTACTAGTAACAAGTGCCTTACTAGTAGTAGTAGTAGTAGTAGTAGTAGGAGTAGTAGTAGTAGTAGTAGTGACAAGAAGCTACTAGGAACAAGTGCATCGCTACTAGTAGCAAGTGCCTTAGTAGTAGTAGTAGTAGGAGTAGGAGTAGTAGTAGTAGTACTAATAGTAGTAGTAGTAGTAGTAGTGACAAGAAGCTACTAGGAACAAGTGCATCGCTACTAGTAGCAAGTGCCTTAGTAGTAGTAGTAGTAGTAGTAGTAGTAGTAGTAGTAGTAGTAGGAGTAGGAGTAGTAGTAG